TTTACTGTTCCACTCTTTACAGCTTCTCAGGTGGGTGCCCAGTAATTGAGGGAAATGAAGAGCCCCATTAACTCCTGGCAGCATGGAGGGGAAACCTTCCTCCACCTCCCTCCACCTCCATCCACCTCCCTCCACCTCCATCCACCTTCCTCCACCTCCATCGACCTTCCTCCACCTTCCTCCACCTCCAGCCTGAGCCAGTCCCTGGTGGTGGGGGATGAGGAGGATCCTCCTGGCTTTAGGGGGGCAGTTCTTGCTCTTTGCCAGTAGCTGATGCCCAGAGCCACACACGCCTGCCCCACCACAGGGCAGAGCAGAGTTCAGTCCCCTCACAGAACCCGGGTGAGTTTGGCACCAAACCCAGCAACGACCTGGGGTCGCTGATACAGAGTGAAATTCAGCTTTGCTGTGACTTTGAGACCCTTTAATTTTGAATAATTTGTAGGATATTAAGATTCAATCTGTACTGGCACTTGAAGCAGTGTCCCAATATATTTTAGCAGCTGGATTGCATCACAGACCTGCCAAGGACAGAGCCCGGGGCTCACCTCCCTAATTTTAGATCAAATGCTGCTCCAAGTTCTCTAATTATGTTAACCTCTGTTGCAACACTATTCTCTGCAATCTGTAGCACAGTCAACATGTTTGGGTCCTTCTCCAGGGTGGGCTCAAACACAGTCTGATTCCCCAAAGTCCCATCCTATTGGAATTACACTTGCAGTGTGATCTCTTCCCCCACAGTCTGCAGGTTTCAGTGCCAGGGGAAAGCTAATAAAAGAATTCCATTTTGTACTTATTTCTTCAGGGTTTGGCTAGTTCAGGTATTGAGTCCTAAATGCTGCCCCTTGACACTTTATGCCAGTTCTTAGTTTAACCTCGAGTGGTTGCAGGCACTTCTCAGAAACATCTTACTTCCACCGACCAAACAAGCCTTCTTGGAAAGTAATGCCCTTACTCTGCTGCTGACTGAGCTTTGACCAAGCAACCCCAAATTATCTTCAACTGAGGAAAACACAACTGAGTCTGGCCTGGCCTGGCCTTACCCTCACACACCCCTCAGACAGCAAATCCCATTCTCCTGAGCAGGATTTCAGGTTAAACATCAGCCAAGTGCTGAGACCTGCAGACCACAGCAGCATCTAGCCAGCAATTCCACATTTCAACACCATTTATATAATGTTTTCTTTATTTAGTAAAGCAGGAGGATTGGGCAGGAGCTTTAAACCCACCCCTGGTGGCTCCTCTGTGGCTCGAGCCCTGTGGGACCTCCACGCTCACACTGCACTCATTTTCTCTTTCAATTATTTCCCAAGCTGCTGCAAACACAACCAAACCAGCCAGCAAATTCAATCTTTCCCCCTTTATGAGAGGTTTTTAAAACAGGAAACGATTTGCAGGTGGATAGTGTGTTATGTTGGTGTCCAAGTCCCCTGCAGCAAACTTGGATCATGGAAAGGTCCCACAACCAGCCCCCAGAGGGAACAGCTTCTGCTAGATCACTTCATGGGGATCTGGCCTTCCCTTGAGACCTAAACATGGATTTAGGGACAAATCTTGCTTTGAAAAGTAATTACCATTTCCCCCTGGATTTGCACACGGGCTCAGTGGGGCCGGGTGACAGTTGTGCATCACAGCTGCACATCTGTCCCCAGGACTGCATCACAGCTGCACATCTGTCCCCAGGACTGCATCACAGCTGCACATCTGTCCCCAGGACTGGGGCTGGGGGTCTGAGCACAGTGAGGAGGGCGTGACCAGCCTGGACAGACACTCCCTGACTGGTCCCAGTAACTCCCACCACGACCTATCGGGTCTGTAAAGTCCATCCCTGCCAAAAGGTTTCCAGGACAGGGGGTTTGGGATAAATGCTTCACCCCAGTGACTCACCCCATGTTCCAGGTTTCCTCCGTGTGCTATGGCAACAGCAAATGCAACACATTTTTGTGGGGTGTTTCACGCCAGAATCCCCCTTTGCTGAAGCAACTCCAGTGGCTGAGGACAGAGCAAAACCTGTGTGTCACAGAACCCATGTCACAGAACCTATGTCACAGAACTTGTGTGTCACAGAACCCCTGTCACAGAACCCTGTCACAGAACCCTGTCACAGAACTCTGTCACAGAACCCTGTCACAGACCCCTGTCACAGAACCCGTCACAGAACCCTGTCACAGAACTCATGTGTCACAGAACCCCTGTCACAGAACCCTGTCACAGACCCCTGTCACAGAACCCCTGTCACAGAACCCTGTCACAGAACCCTGTCACAGAACCCCTGTCACAGACCCCTTGTCACAGAACCCCTGTCACAGACCCCTGTCACAGACCCCTGTCACAGAACTCCTGTCACAGACCCCCTGTCACAGAACCCCTGTCACAGATTTGGCTCCTCTTTGTCCCACGTAACAGCCCAAAAATGCTCCCCAGAAATGCAGTGACTGACAGGGCAGTGACGCAGGTGGGACGTTTTGTGTATTGTGTTACAGTCACAATACACAAAATACCTCAAAATATGTAAGAAACTGCTCAGTCACTCAATAGCCCAGCACAAGGGTTGTCCCCCTGCATTCCTGAGGAATGCCTGGAGCATTCCAACAGTGAGCCACGTGCCATCAATGTGCTCCATCGGCCTTGGCAGCCCACGCTGCCCAGAGCAGAAAACCACACCAGCACTGCCCAAAAACGTGCATGTTTGTGAGTGTTATAAAATGCAAGGGACTCACACTGCACCAACAAAACCCTGTGCAGATTCAGAATTAAAGACATCCTCGATTCACTTAAAGGGACGTGTCAGAGCCTTGATTGTGATAAATCCCATTCCTTCATCTGTGAAGGTGACATTTCAGGCAAATTGTCCCAAGAAATGGAGTGGAACAAGGAAGAGTTTCCTGTTTTTTAAGTGATTTCCTGTGATGACAAAGCCCAGCATGGGAGCAGCCGGCTGCATGGCTGGTGCTCAGGTTTTTTAGCTCCTTGTTGTTCCCAGGCAGGCAGATGGAATTCGTCACAAGAAGCTAATCAGGGACACTGGGACCTAGTTGCATTTACAGGGATAAAATCTCAGTTTGAGGAGTCATTAGGAACCTGCCTCTCACAAGCACACTGCCTGCGAAGTCACAGACCATTTCCCAGGCAAACCATTCCACTGGAGCCTGGCAAAAGGACCAGGAGAAGAGCAGTGGGAGTCATGCAGGGAGGTCATTAACCAGGGTCTGTCCCTTCTACCAGGGCAAAGAGGAGCCTCATCACTCCAGCAGTCAGAGGAGTGCAGGACATGAGAGAAGGAAAACAAGAGCAGTCAAGTAGCTTGGCCTTTAAACCATCCAGCTGGTGCCCCTCCAGGGCAGACCCTTCCCCAGCTCCTGCAGTTTGGAGGTCAGATTGAAAATCCCCTTCCTTCCTTAGAAGAGGGGACAAAGCCCTGGAAGCCTCCAGGATCCCCACAAGCACCCGGCAACATCAGCAGCCAAAAAACAGCTTCCAAGCCAGCCTGGGCACACCCTTCTCCTGCCTCCACCTCTGCTCCAACACTGCTCTGGCTGGATTTGTTCCAGGAGCCCCACTGCCTTCCCAGCAGGAGGAGCAGAGATGCCCCAAGTGCTGGTGCAGCTGAGGGGCTGGGGGGCACTGGGGCATGCCAGGTATTGGGGGCTCCCAGAGCTGCCAGCCCGGCACCCGGCCGCCTTCAGGGAGCCTTTTTTGAGCTCTGGTAGGTGGAATTGCAAACAGGAAAGTGCTGAGCCAGCTGGGAACAAGCTGTTCGCCTGCCCCTGGGTCTCTCTCTCCCAGCAATACTTTAATTCCAGCTCTAACTGCCAAGAAAAGGAGCTCCTTAATCAGCAGAGCCGGGAGGAAGGGCAGCTCCCGTTCCCGCAGGGCGGCCCTGTGGCCACACTGTCCCTGGCCACCACCCTTCCTTCCCCTGCAGCCGCCGTGCCCGTGGCCACGCCTGTGCCAGCCACACCAAAATCCCTCCCTGTGTCCTCACGAGGGCCAGCACACACCTGATGTGCCAAGTCCTGCCCCAACTCTTGGTGTTCCTCGTTCTCCCCGGGAAGAGGGGCTGCTCTGGCGGAGCGGCAAACGTTCCACGAGAGCTGCGAGTCTCCCTGGTTTATGCTCTTCCAGAAAACTCAGCCTCTGTAGTTTGTCAAACCCAGCGTGTTCCAGAGAGAGGGAAACAATCTCCCCCAACTGCGCCGTGCCGTTTTTCCCATGTTCCCTTTATCCCTGATGTAGCACCCAGCAAATTCTGCCTTGTACCGAGAGCCATTTCTGTCAAATTAGGTTAAAAGGAAGTAGCGGAAAACTAAAAGCTCTGCGTCTAATCCTGCCACCTGGAAAATCAGCAGAGAAATATAATTTTGTAGTCTTTCAAATTAAATCAGATTCTGGGCACTCTGCTGATGAGTTAATCCAGAGCTGAGTGGAATGGCTCTGCTCAACCATGACCAGGTTTAGGCACGTTCAATTCACGGCAAAGCAGTTCCAGTTCAGAGACACCGCTTTTAATTGTGTCCTCACCCTGTTTCTTTTAATTTTACAATTTGCCTCAGCCCTTGTCCATTAAGGAGCTCTCAGCAGGAGGTGGCCATCAAAGGCAGAGCAGAGGCCAGGGACCTGCAGGGGGGTCACCACTCTGTCTGGGATTTGGGTGGCCTTTTCCTTCCCTGCACCCTGCGGCTCCCACCCACCCAGGCTCCATCCTGGGGGCTCCCACAGCAGGAACAGCTGAGCAGGGATCCAGGGATCAGGGATCAGGGATCAGGGCTGCTCCCTGGCACTGCTCAGGTTTCTCACTCCTGCTGAGGACACTGGGATGTCCCCGCTGGGCTCCCTGGGTGGCCACGCTCTGAAATCCCTCCCAGCTGCTGCTCCCCAGTGCTCCCCATGCTCGGGAGCAGTCGCTCCCACCCCTCTTTGATGTTTTGTATAAAACTGACCTGCACGTGATTTTGTGCCTCTTTACTCTCCTCTCAGCATATCAAGTGCAGCCACAAGTCTTTCTGTACTTTACTTTATTCTATTTTTTCCCCAGTTGCTTTTCACACGCCAAGTCCAGAATGTCACATCTGATCTTTCCTGGTTTCCCTCTGGGTCTTCTAGGAAAGCTTAGACCAGTTGCATTAGAAGCAGTAAAAATGATTGAAAGCATGAAGGTGCCTTTTCAAGTTTTAAATTTAACAAGTTTAAGGATCATGAAGTGTTTCTCTTCTTTTCCTGGCCTGGGAAGGAGCAGGGCTGTCCACATCCCTCAGGGACTCCAGCACTGCTGACCTCTGCAGGCAGCGAGGCAAGGCTGCAAAGGGGACATCAATGGCAACAGCAATTTTTATTGAAAAACAGAAATAATTTCTTCAAACAAAAAACCCCAAACAAAGGTAAACATGAACGGGGTGGTTTGTTCTGAAAAGCTTTGCTGGTATCAAGAGAAGTGGTCTTACACAATATGGTGTTTTGGTTTGGTTTCTCTCTTGTTTTCCTAATTTACAATGTGTTTTAGCACCTCTGCAAAATATCCCTCAGGCTGCCAATGGCGACAGGGCCCAGGGTGCTGATTTAACGTGAGAGAATATGTTCTCTTACACCATTTTTCCAAACTCTCCCCTTTGTGCTGTGATGTCATTAAACCACTTACAACCAAGTCCAGAGGCTGGATCTCCATCCTGTCATCCAGCAACATCTGCCTCTTCCCCGTGGATGCCACCTGGCACTTTGCAGAGATCCAGTCCCTCCCGGGTGTGAGTGATCCCAGGAGCCAGCCCTGCAGGGAGGAGGAGGAGGAGCAGGAGGAGGAAGGAGGAGGTTGTCTCTCTGGGCAGCATCGCCCTGGGAGAGAGCACAAGCCCCTGAAGGCATTTTGGTTTTGAGAACAGTGACATTCCCTGGGCCAGGCTGCATGGACAGCCAACAGCATGGACACACCAACAGCACCTGAGTGGACACTCACTGCTGCCCTAGGGGTGTAACAGCCACCATCATGAGGAGTCCAAAGCAAAGGCTGTGAAGAAACCAGCAGTAATTGCTGCCAGCCAGCACAGCTGCACAGGCACAGGGAGCAGAGCTGCTGGGGGAGCAGCACGGCAGGAGGGGAAGGAGAGGCTGAAAGCTGCTCCCTTGACCCGATTTTGGCTCTTCTCCACGTGCAGGGAAGGCAGCCTGCACTGCTGCTCCTCCTGCCATCCCCACAGCTGCTCCAGAAGAAGATGATGATGGATTTATCGCTCCTCCCCGAGCGAGTGGTGATGGATTGTTGGTGGAGCTGCGGAATTTCCCCAGGCCCCAGATGGAATCAAATCTCCTGGAAATGTTTCACTCCCCATACATGGGGCTATCTAGAAAAGGCAGGTCCTCAGGAGCACAGCTTTACCTGCAATCCTCTGGTGCAGCACTTTGATTTGTTTCCTTTAACGAGGCTCGAGGGTGCCTTAAGAGGCTGTTTCCAGGATCCAAGGGAGATGGCAGGATTTGATCTCTCTCCATGGTCTTGTATGTAATTACTGAGAGGAGACAGCAAATGTGCAAAGACTCAGAGAGGTTACAAGAAATTATCCCAAGCCAGCAGACAGAAATCCACCTCTGCTGGGATTTGGGGGAGCTGTGGGAAGTTCCACACTTGCAGGCAAGACTGGGGCCAGTAACAACCCCCCTGTAAACCCTCGGAGGGTCAGCTCCATCCGTGACCTGCCCTTTCTCCATCCCTCTCCCACCCCCACGGGCAGAGGGCACTGGGCAGGTGGGTGCAGAGAGCAGCTCTTGGCAATGTCAAGCTCACCTGTCTTGAGCTCCACAGCTCCAGGCTTTGAGAGCCCAGCTCCCCAGTGCTGCCACTTGGAGAGAATTTCTTACGTGCCATCCAGTTTTAGTGCCATTCTATTTCATTTGCTACCTTACCTTAATCATTTTTTAACACTCATTCAATTTGCATTTCTCTCTCTTCATCTGTTCCTGATATTTTATTTTTTCAATAAACTAAGTAATTTAGTGGCTCTAATCCCAAGCCTCCAATTTAGAGCATGGATGTGGAGGCTGCAGAAGCAGCCCAGTTTAAATCTGTCAGTCAAACATAACTTAATCTATCATCTTCTTTACAACTAAAACTGCTCTGGGGGAAGGAAACCATGACTGGGAATCAGTTTAACTTTGAAACATCCACCTCTACAGCTTTCTAGTGCTCTTGTTATGCACGGGCTATCAGAAAATGCTGAAGTTATACAGACCTTGGACAACATGAAGTCACAACAGTTCAGGTCCAGAGGCAGCTGCAGAGGCTTTGAAGAGCCCGAGGCCACATCCCCAGTGCCATCACCGTGGTACAGGCTCTGGGACACAGCTGCAGTGCTTTTCGACTGGTTTTCCATTTCTGGACCTCTAAAAAAAGTCAAGAGAATTAAAGACACCAAAGATAACTGCTTCTCTCTGTTACCTTTCCTGGCTGCTGTGAGATAGCCCACGGACTTACCCGAGGCAGTGGCTCAGGGCTGAAGCACAGCCCCAGGCACACACGGGCTGGATGGAGCCAAGGAGCTCTGGAGTGAGGGCACCGACCACAGAGTGCTCTTCCCTGTGCTTCCTGGGGCTCCAGGCTGCTGTGTGCTTCCAGGCTCCTCTGCAAGCACCTCTGGATGCTCCCTGGAAGCCTCTGGAAGGCTCCTCTGCTGTATTTGGTTTTGGCACTTTAGTCTGACTTACATTTTCTCCATTTCACTGGGACCAGGACCTGCACAAACAAATCCTCCCGTCCTCTTCCACCAGTGGGACCAGAGGCTGGGGGGGAAGCTCGTGGTGTGTCAGCCCACCACAGCCCTGAAGCACCAAGCACTAAATGACTGTGCTCCCCACGAGATGAGCTGTGCAATGGAGATGTTATTCTTCATCAATAAGTAAGGACTTTTCATCAAAATTTCACCAGCAGCTGGATGCTGAGCTGGTGCCCGAGGGGTCCCTGCCACCTCCAAAGCTGCAGCAGAGCAGCACAGGGCACAGACACAGAGGCACCACGAGTCCCAGTGCCCCAGAGCTGCAGAGCTGGGGACGTCTGTCTCACACCTCTGCTTGTCTGGGTGCACCTCAGTGTAAACCTGCAGCACTGGGCCAAGCCATTGCTCCTCTGGAAAGTTCTCGTGGCTATTTTTGTCCAGTCCATCACTGCTGGCTCTGTGGGAGAAGCTCAGAACTGGGCCTGTCGAAGCCCCGAGAAATCACTGCACAGTTCTGCCCTGAGCTAGAGCATCCAAAAGCTGCCACAGTCAGTATGTCCTGGGCTGCAGCAAAGGGCCTGGCAGCCGGGCACAGCAGCTGTTCAGCAGACGACCACATTTTATTCTGGCCCATATTTCATCTTGCAGCAATTAGCCAAGACAAAAGGGCCTCATCACACCAGCATTTCAGCCTCGTGTTCAGGGAGGCAGAACTCAGAGCACAAGATCCTCAATAAAAACACCAATAATGTCTGCTAGCCCACATCAGAGTTTTCACAACTGGAGCATGAGGGAAAACCTGCTCAGCCCTGCTGGGTTCAGCCCCCTCACATGATGGTTTTTGGCAAATCTGAGGCAATCCAGTGAGTACTGTGAGGAGGCACCACAGTGCAGCCACCCCAGCCCAGGGATGAGCCCCCCACCAGCACTCAGACATTTGTTGGATGTCAGGTCCTTCCCTTTGCTCCACCTCAGCATAAAACATATATTTGATGTCCACGTTCTAGTTTTCTGAAATAATATCTTCCCCATAAATATCTTCTCAATAGTCCCAGCCCCAAGCCCGGTGCTAATAAAAGTGCTCTTTATGGTTATTGGACAAGTGAGATGACTGGGCTGCACAATTACCTTCAAATATCTGCTCAGAACCGGCTGGGAGTGGAAATCAGCTTCTTCCTCCCCAGGTGCAAATCCATAATGAGGATTTATTTCAGAGGAGGTGGAAATGAGGTAATCCCTCTTCTTCCTGAGGTGAGATAAGGAGAGGAAAAAAAAAAAAAAAGAAAAAAAAGGAAAGAAAATGGTACAAGTTAATACTGAAGAATCTGGAAAAGCAAATGATTTGCAGGAGAAAGGGGCAGGAGGTCAATGGCATAGAAAAGCTCTGAGTAATAAGAGGGAGAAATGATGGGTTTGCCTAATGCTGTCCTGTGCAGGGACAGGGGCAGGAGGTTGGGGTGAGCCCCTTCCTTGTGTTCAGCCTCCTCAGGGATTCTGCAGCACCCAGGAGCAGAGGTCAGTCCCCAGGACAGCCAGCACCCTGCATCTGTGGGCACAGCCTTTTTGTGCCTGTTTTTTTTCAGTACATTCATTGCTATAATAACCCTATTTCAGTAAAACATATAAAATTGCCACAAAATGAAGCAGATACGGAGAAATTGTGTCATTGGGGAAACCAAACTAGCACCCAGCCTCTGCTTCAGCAAAGCCACAGCAGATTGTGCTGCCCTGTGAAAATGGAGTGAGCTGAGAAACAGCATAAATTAGGATAAAGGTGTGTATTTATGGGAAGAAATTGAGGAAAACCAACTCAGCTGCCTCCTGGGATTCTCTCTGGGTTTGCTATCGACTTTGCTCTCTGCCAAGCCCCAGCAGCTCAGAGGCAGAATCTGTTGATGCTACAGAAAGTGAAGTCCTGCAGAGCAGTCAATGGGAAATAATGGATATCAATTACACAGCTGGAACTGCCGACTGGATCAGGTTTTATAACTCTTCACTCTTGGGGTCTTCTTAATAAATCCATCAGGAGAGGTGTCATAGCCTTTATAGCAATATGTTTCAATGTTTTATTTCCTGTGAGGGAGCAACTGGCTGCTTCACAAAACCCTCCTCAGAGCCCCCCCAGCCTCGTGCAGGAATCAGAATTGATGGGACATGGACAGGAGCTCTTTGCTCTCTAATGCAGGGACCAGTTTGCCACAACATTCGGACACTGCTGCTGGAAACCAGTCGGGTTCCTTCCCTTCTGCTTCAGTCCTGCTGATGGCACGGGGGCAGCTTCTGAGGAATGATTTGGTGGGAGCCTCACAGCGAGGAGCTCAAAGCTCAGGTCACCTGAAAGCAAATCAGCTGTTGAGGAGCACCTGCACTTTGTGGCAGGCAGAAAAGAGCATCGTCCTGCCCGGGTGTGAGAGCTTCCAGCCCTGCAAGAGCAGCCACATCACCCAGACCAAGTTGGAAAATTATATTGAACAGGGGTAAAAAAAAAACCCACCTCATCTTTGTCTATCACTTGCATTTTTTTATCTGCATTTTTATTGAATCCAGCCACCAACTCAAGTGCTGGAAGCAGAAATGCAGCTTTCTTCCATGGCATCTTCCCTATGGTAAATCTAATTAAACAGCCATTAAAATGTGTGTTAGCTCAATCGTATCAAGGTGACCTGGAGCTCCTGCTAAATGTTAACAACAGCATTCCCCACTAACTGGCATCCGAGAGGGAACAGGCAGTACTGTTTCTCCTGATGTGGCCTTTAGATGAATGTGGTTATTAAAGTGCTTTGTGTACCACAGATTCCCAAATAAATGAGCCTAATTTTCTGGCAGCTGAAGCTGCCCCGTGTGCCCCTGCAGCGCTCCCAGCCAAGGCTGGCACATCCCAGCATCCTGGCCAGGCTCTGCAGGATGCCAGAGGCCAAGGGGACAGAAGTGCACAGGCAGCATCTCCAAAAGCCAGAGGAGAAGTGCTAAAATGTCAGGAAGGAGAGGAGAGAGGGCAGAGCCTTCCCTGCAGCATCCAGAGCCGCTCCCACCCCCGTGGAAGGTCCCTCTGCCCCCAGACAAGGCTGATGGTTCCCCAGCCAAAGTGAACGCCTGGCTGGGTGTTCAAATATCCTTAAATCCTTAAGTCCCAATCCAGATTAAAATCTGGAAATATTTCCCGGGTTTACACTGGCCTGACCTCCAGTCTCAGAGCCACACACAGTCCATGTTCATGATGCAAAACTGCAGACTGAATTCCACATCCCTCCCCACAACCAGACCCGCTAGTGCCCAACAAAGAAATACCTATTTTATAAGCAGTTTATCCTGCATAGGTTAACAACAGCAAAATGCTAATGATAGCCAATGATGAGAGTGAAAACTGAGAATTGTGTCTGTTCATCACTGCAGGTTTTTATCATGACCCTAAGAAGTATCATTATGCTAAAGAAAATGTTCACCATGTACTAAATCAGACAGATCTGCATCTAAAAAACTACCTCCTTTGGTTGTTACCTTATGTTTGCCTTCACAAGTTTATTCCTTTTAATGCAGCTACGGTTAAAAATAGGAAATATCCCACCAAGCTACAAAATAGCTGAACAGGTGGGAAATGTCTCACCTCCCCCTTGCACATGTCAGCAGCTGCAGTTTGGGCACTGGGGCTACGTGACTGCAGAAATCTCCCCCCGTGCTGGGGGCTGGGGGCTGCAGGAGCAGGAGACCCGGGGACAACGGACACCCACCCAGGGGCAGCGATAAAGGAACAAACTGAGTTTAAAAACAAAATAGGACAAGGAGAGATGGAGCCAGGTGGTAGCACAGAGCTCCTGTTCCCCAGGCTTTGGCAGCCCTGGAAAGCCCTGGAAAGGCGAAGGTCCTTTCTGTACAGCCCACACAGGTGTGCTCTGGGCACCGTGACCGTGGTCACACACCAGGCTCTGGGCTCAGCCCAGGGGATGGCAAACGCTCAACAAATGACAGTGTGCATCAAGTTAACCTTCCTTTGGGATCAGTCACCCCGAGCCAATGCCCTTCCCAACACCACCACGTCTCCAGAGGATTAACTGGGATCCAGCATCAGCCGGCTCAGAGCTGGGGCTTCCCCAGTTTGCTTCCAAGAGCAGCACTGTGTGCCTGCAGCACTGAGACTCACCTGGGCAATTAAAAAATGTTCTGTGCTTATTTTCACATCTTTCTTGTTCTGTCTTGCTTGGCATTTGGATTTCTGATTATTGAAGCACTCCTTTGCATGAACCCCTCAGCTATTACGATGCATCTCTGCCGAGCAGGGAAGGCACGGTAAAACTAATTAAATGCTTTACTCTGCCATTTACAGAAACACATTAAACCATGAGGAATGGCTCTTTCAGAATCATTGCAAGGGGTTGGGTGCACAACTGGCTGATTTTTTCCCATATGGACTGTCCTGTACACAGGGGAAGGCAGGACAGAGGGGGCTCACGGGCGAAGACCAGCAGGGCCCAGCCCCACACTTGGCAGGCAGGAGAGGACACATATCTGTAAATCCAGGTATTGAGCAAGAATGCAGATAGGGAAGGGGACAATGAACACCGTCCAGAGTCACCCTCTGCTCAGCTACAGCACAGGACACACAGAGTGTGGGGTGCACAGCCTGTCCCCCTGGCAAGGGCCCACTGCCCAGCTGGGCACAGCACTGCTCTACCCACCACCTCAGCATGGCTGAGGCTGCTCCCACAAAACCCCTCTGTCACTGCCACCAGGAACACTGGAAGGAACAGGAGCAAAAGCAAGCAAAGGGCCGAGGTGGAGGATTGCTCTTGGAAGGGACAGGGGATACAAATGAGCAGCTCTACGCAGGAAGCTACTGTCACAGGGGGTAATGAATTAAATGAAGTGGAAAGCATGGCATGAACTGGAGATTTGCTGTAGTGACTAATGTAATTAACCTCTATTGAAATAATTAAGCCTCCTAATTTGTGCTGCATGAGCAGCACAACTGCCAGGGCAGGTATGGGCAGCCCTGAGCCGGCTGTGGGTGGGTGGCACCCACCACACCAAGGGGTTTTGGCTCCCCTCAGCACCACAGGGCTGCTTGAGTTGTGCCAGGGATTCGTCTGGAGCCAAGGGCAGGTCCAGGCACAGACCCCAGAGCTGGGCAGGCACCACGAGGGCACCACGAGCACCACGAGGGCACCACGGGCACCGTCAGCATCGCCCGAGCAGCCCCGGACCAGTTCCTGGGGCAGTTTCTCAGGTGTTGTGAGACACCAGGGCTCAGAATGGGGAGAAGCAGGAGCTCCCTGGGCTGCACAGTCCTAGGGGCTGCCTCCCAAAGCTTGGATCAACAGCCTTCCAAACCCATTTCCCTCGTCCTGGCGTGTCCTGTCTCAGCAGGAGCTGCTCTACAGCTCTGCCTACAGCACAGCACAAATAAACCACAAAAGCTTTAGGAAGAAAACATTATGATCACAAATATCCCACAAAATTCCGTGGCCCATTCCTCTTGGACTCGACCTGCCTCCTCATAAACTGTGACATTCTTCCTTCTTTCAGCACAGGATTGCTTTATGCCAGTCAGGGAAGCAAGGTTTGTTGTCTCTAGTTATTAATTTACTTTTATTGACTGCAGTGCCTTTCCCTGTTTTATTACCCAATAGCTCACACCAGCAGAACAGCTTTTCTTTTAGGTTACACATAAACGTTTGACTTTCCCAGACGGGCACCAAGGAGAGGGAAAACCAACGTGGTGCATTGAGGCACCCGATGCTGCATCTGCTGCCCCGACCCTGCGTCCCCAGGGACACCTCCCAGCAGACCAGGCTGCTCACAGCCTCATCCAACCAGCAAAAATGCTGATCCCTTTTCCCCTCCTTTCACTGCTCAAGGCATATGATAAAAAAGCATAAGGTTTAGATTGATTTTTTTTCCCCCGTCCTAAAAATACGCTCTGAAACGCTCCCATTGTCCACATGCTGCTCCCTGTGATAAGGCACATTTTTGCTCTATAGCAATTATTTTGAACACCACTATTACACTGACTGTGAAAACCCAAGAGCACCACAGAAGGTTCTGGGGTTATTGAACCACCGGGTTCCTTCCCTGCTGCTGATGGACACCTCCTGCTGCAGCCGGGGCAGCAGGGAGGCAAAGAGCTGCTTTTTTCTTTGAGAGAACTGACAGCTGAAACGAGTCCTCTGCTCAAACACCCGCCTGTGCTAAAGCTAAAAAATAAAAATAAAAACAAAAGCATCTCAGGGGCTTGGCTGGTTTTGCAGC